ACGCAGATTACGAACTAATATGACATACACGTTAAATAAAATAAATAAGGACTGCCACTTTAATTTCTTTCCTACGAGAATGAATAGTCCCCATCGCGATGTCTTGTCACAGGAACGCGTGAATAAATTTGTAACGCGATATTGCGAAGAAAAAGATAAAATCACGATGGAATATAATAGAAAAAAGGGGAACTGGTATTACCTTGAGCCACGAACACCTGTAGGAACAGGGACGATTTTCGCGAGGAAATACACGCGCGTGGTCTCGCGGGCTCCGTTCGTGCTGTTTGTTAATTAACTTGCAATCCCGTAATTGGCCACGATAATAAGTCGTTGCTTCGGCAAGCGGGGTTTTGTTTCACGGGTCATAGTCGACGATATCTACCGCGAGTCTGTTCACGGTTATCCCTGGGATACATTTTGAACGATTAAAAGTCAACTCTCGGGGTCAAATCGCTTTTAATCCTTTTTGTGCGTTCTTTAAGCCAGGATGAGAGGACGCGAGAGACCAGAAAATTCAACGTGTTTCAACATCGTCTTACCACGGCTAACAGCTTGTTTTACTTCTTAGAATTTACATTAATACGCAGCTCCGGCTCGAGGGCGGATTATCGTCCATAAGCAACCTTAAGTTCCTACTTGATGGGTGTTCCTACTTCGTCATCTTGAAGACTAGGCAGGTGTAATTCCTGAGAGGCAAAAAGATGAAACTGGTCGATCGAGATATTCGATATTCCTACTAATTTGTACAAATTTCCCAGAAATTAATTATTATAGGATTTTAACACTTCACCAACTGGTAGCCTATTAACACATTCGCGCCGCTGACGTAAATTCACGACACTTAAAATTTCTACTAGAATTCTCTACTCGTGCTTCGCGTATCGATACTCGGTTAGTCTTAGTCGAGGCACTGTGCGATGCAGCACTATAGCTATCGGTGAATTAGGACTTTGGGGGGATTCGAAGGGGGTTACCAGTGGGAATTCTAATCTGGATAGTTTCGCGAGTGGTTTGAACGAATCCAACGGACCCCCGAAACGCGACGCGACGGTGCTCGTAACGAGGATGCCGGAGGTTGGCGGCCCTCGGAGCAGGGGAAGCCACGCCATTAACACCAATTGCGCTTTCATTAATTTTCATCCGCACTTTCGCGCGTTAACGCTGATCGACGCAAAGGTGACGGTCCCGGAATCCCAATTGGGAACCCCCCCTTCCGAGACCACGTAATTAGCTCGAAATTTGGCTCAGGGACGTTATGTTTTCTATTTCTATTTAAATTTGTGTAAGTAATACGAGCCTTCATCAAGTTTGCGATCTTTGGTATTTCTTAAATAAATCTGTAATTAATCTGTAATTGAGTTTAATTTCAATCAAATTTCCTGCATCATTTTCATAACTGAGCCATGAGATCTATGGTGGACTAATTCTGTGAGCCTTTGCGTTGATGAATGCCATAGTTTTTGAACAGCTTAATTTGCATTGATGAATCGTAACATTTACATTGAGAAATAGTTAAATGTACCGATACAGTGTATTAAAAATATGTAAATTTCTGGGTTAGCATGGTTTAGCTTTCGTGACCTCAATTAGTTTCACCTCCACTAGTGCTTTCCTCCGAGGTAACGGAATTTATTTCTTCTCCTCTTCTTCTTCTTCTTCTTCTTCTTCTTCGCTAATCGTTTCTTCAGGCTGATTAAAAGATACCTTTGAATCTTTGAGGCGCGACGTGACCTCGGACGAAAAGCTATTTTTCATACTGCGCGAAGGGGAACGTAAATTACTTACGATAGGGTCTGACGAAACAAGGAACACGTGTAACCGATCCTCGCTTGTAACTGGTTCTCGAAGTTCATCGAGCGAAGTTTCGGCGAAAATTTTTGAAGTCTTTCCAAGCTTCTTCAGGTAATTGACTCGCGGAATTCGTTGGACGAAAATGATTTATCAACAGATGCAATCACACCGAAGAATATTATTATTCCACGACTCCCAGCGGGTTCTTGTTGCACAAAATGTTTACCTCAGGGTGTCTGACAATAGAAAATTGCGACGTAACGATGAACAACGCGAGTTTTGTAAGCGTGTAACATAAAATCCTTCAGTATAGGTATAATAGCGTATATAAAGTGAAATTGTAACGTGGAATTCGTGGATATGAAAATGTTGAAGATTGAACGCAGGCTGTCGGGTTTCGTGGATGTGTTTACGACGAAGATTTTTGCGATGGTAGAAGCTCGGGTGAAAAACTGCTGATATCTCTGTCGGAGGATTCTGTCGTTAAGAATTCCGCCACGTCGACGTGTATTACAGATTCCTGTGTCGTAAAAGATTTTAGTACGGTGTTTCGTTATGTAAATTCTCGCCTGTAAATTCCTCTTGCGGCAAACTCTTCGTTGGATTCTCGTGGCAAAGAACTTGCGTAGAAAACAGCCTTATTACCAAACTTTGGAATAAAAAATTCTGTTATATAGAAGTATATAAAAGGTAGAGAAAAATATAATAGAGCTCGTGGAAACTCTGTTACGTTTTGCAGTACTCGTTAACATGTTGATCACCTGTATGTTCTTGAATTTCGATGAAGTTACAAAAACAAGAAATAGTAAGAAAAAGTAAGAATTTAATTGTACCGTAAGAGTGTTCGTCAAAGTCTTTTTCTCCTTAAGGGATTCTAAAGAACGAGAGGATCGACGCCATTGGACGGTCACTGGTTCGATGTAACAGTGTCAAAGATCTATCGCGAGTGGTTGGCCTGCAGTTCGTTACGTCTAGGCGAACGTTGGGCGCTCGCGGATTCAAAGACGACGTAATTGCATCTCGTGTGCAATATACGCTACTTACGTATCTCTTAATTAATTCGTGGCTCGCCCCGGCCGGTAATTATTTCCATATCGCCAGACACGTACCCCCGTGACCCTCCTGGGGTGGCTGCGTCGCCTCGACGACACACGACGTCGATGACGAAGTCGACGACGCGCGATGTGGTTTAAATCTGAACTGATCTAGCTTCGCCAAATCGATACCATAATTTTACAACAATTAACCCTTTACATTCGGAGCCATTTTGTTGCAGAACGTGGTAAGGGTGATCGTGTCGTACTAAATAATGTAGCATAAAAAGCATCCGAATGCAAATGGTTAAATCCTTCGCAAATGCTTGGTATCGCATAATGATTTAATAACGTAAGTAATAATTATCGATGTCGGTTGAAAAGCCATTTCAAGCATTTTATTGTTTACAAATTTAACGCTTCAAATGCATAAATGACAATGTAATACATTTTGAAAAACTTATATCTACCGTTTTATCGTGCTAGATTAATTCTTGTAAAAAAGGTATATAAATTACCTTGGTTACGAGCCAGATAAGAATTTTGCCCATCTCTGGGATAAGTCGAGAGTATCGAACATTCTCCGGCTCGGTTCGCTGTATCGACTCCCTCTCTTTTTAATCGTAATTAATTACGCGGCAACGCGATATATTGGATACCATGGAAGCCAATGGAAAAAATTCTTATCGAAGACAATTATACTTTACGAGTGCGACTGTGTATTTATGGGGTTCGTATCGACTATGAGGCCGCGAATCGGAGAAGTATTTTTAGCCGCTCTGATTTCGTTCTCGGCGAATAACAGTGACATAAAATTCTGGAAATTCATTTTTCAATGATGCTGTGTAGGTGAAGTAGTTAGACAACATAGTGGGGATAATCACTCGGTAACCTTAAACGGCCATATGACTTTAATCAGACTATACAGCATAAAAACAATAATTCATATTCTTTATCTACTTTCAGCGCTATTGTAGTTTCTACTTTCTTCCTTACACAATATTATTTCTTTGCTCCCATTATTTCCCTCGTATGTTTGCAATTTTAATTTTATGTTTTGTTCGTTATACAATTACACGAATACTCAAGACGCTTGTTTAAAGCTTGCAACTAGTTGCTACTTATTTACAGAAACAATAGTAACTCGGAAATAAAATCAGACGTTTACGTGAAACATTTCTTATAATTTGCAGTAGCATGTACTGCATGCAATTTTATCTTTGTCTATTTGTGGAATACAAGATAATCATCAAGTTTCTCAACTTCGGTGTAAAACTTTTCAATCTAGGACACCTTCCCTCTCTAAAGGTCGCATTATCTCGATCTCTTCAAAAGATAACGACGACCAATCTTCCATGGGGGATAAGAGAGATTCTATTCCAAACTCATCGAAGTCCAAGAGACCCTAGCGCCTCTTAGACAGGATTCGCTGCATAAACTTTGTACTACAAAGTCGTTCGACGTATAATCATTCCTCGTTTTAAGGATCTTATAGTATCACAATCAATTTAATTCACGGTCACATTCCGCTTGGCCACACCTTGGACTACACACGTGGAACGGGAACCTCTCACGGGTGTGCACCGTAATGTTTACATTTCAATTACGTTAATACCGCCCGTGGGACGCTCTAATCGATTACGGCGATCGGTCAATTAAATCGTCCATGGGTCTCGAGGAATCGGGAGCGCTCGATCATCCTGCGATCGAAAGGAACGATGACGATGTCGCGGAGGAAACGTGAACGTGTAGGCGTCTTCGCCTGTTCCGTGCCAATTCCCTCCGCTTGCCACTGATCGACCATCACGGATATGTAAATTGTTCCTGAAATACACGAGGCACGGTTAAAATAGGGAATAAACATTGATCGGTATCGACGTATTCGGCGATCGTTACCTTTCCTTTCTTTTTTCCAATGATTCGTCGACACCCTGTTTATTGGCTACACAAGCGGCTGTGATTCATAAATTATTCAGCAGCGAGTGTACTATGCACCGCTATCAGACCTGGGCAAATTTTATTCGAAGTCAAAATGGGGAACAACTGTCCGAAATAATGAATACTTTAAACAAATTATTCACGGTAGTTTGGGTACTTGGTTGTCGAAAATATCGAATATATGAAACGAGCGTTCGCGTAACAAGGTCATAATAGAAGAAGCATGTACATAAATTTTCGTTTGCCAATTTAAAAATTTATTTGTCACTTAGAAAGACGTAATTAGAAAGTTAATAATTTCTCATGGAAGTGTACAATATTTTCGTTCTTTCGTTGGTCATAGGATATGGTAGCAAAGTGTTGGACACCCTCTATGTTTGTACAAACATACAACACTATTTCAAACGTGCCCAGATCTGCCACCTACACGATGTAACGTACGAAGGAACAAAAGAATCACTATAGCCGACTTGGTCGTGGCTCGTGTCCAACGAACGGATAATTCTAAACGGTACAGTTGTCTCATACCGTTTAATACAAACTTTCTGCTACAAAGTCGTACGGCTGCCTTGTTCGAGGAGCATTTCGTCGTTCGTGCAGGACAGATTCGTTCAGTTTTCGCATATAGATTCTTCGGTTTGTTTACGTAAAATCGTTGCAACTTTGACGTAGACGAAGGTATTCCTGCTCTCCTTTTTTAACAGTGCTATGCAATCCGTGAAATTTGTCTTAGAAATGGCGCGTTTATACGTCGATTGACGAAACGAAAGTATTTTCAGCAAGTAAGTGACGTCGGGTCTCGTTGCTTCGTATCAGCCATTTTATTCGATTAGGTCATTTTTCAATCGTACATTCGTTCCTAGAATGACGATCGAATGGTCGTCCAGTATGCAGAAAGGTATCGTAAATATTCCATCGTAGTGGAAGAATCGCTTCCATCGAGTGCGCGTACACACGTGTCATGTTGTTAGACATCACCTCTAGCAGTGTCTGAAATGATCTAGAACACCGCTCCTCAATTGCTGACAGACCTGCTGGGGCTCTCCAGCGATCCTCGACGGGCACGTTCGGTCTTCGTGATGACGCCCTGCACGATACCGTAGTGCTCGAACGGATCCTTGCCATACCCAAAATTCTCCTCGACTCTATGATTGATCCTGGGCCTGGGAGGAGTAGACGTCCTCGTAGGAGTTACGGTAGGGCTGTTCTTCGGACTGGGAGCATTAGCAGGAGTAGAAGTCGGACTGTTCTTCGGCGTGGCGGTTGCATTCGTTGTTTGACTTGTCCCAGCGTTGTTCCCATCCGTGTTGAGACTCTGTAAGGCGTTGAAGCTTTGCATGACGAGATGCGAAGCGACGGACATCGTCAATGGATTCGCTGGTGCAAGGGGAACCTGACCAGCCGCGGATTTCTCATTTCGGGCAACTGGCAAAGCGTTACTCGATTGATTTTCCACTCGTGCCGTCACCGCCGCCGCAGGCACCATTACAACGGATTGATTCTCTACTCGAGACATTGATTGGCCTACGGATCGATTCGACCTTTCGCCCCGAGCCAGCGGCGAAGTCGATTGGCCGTTCGCCTGAATCGGTAATACCGCCAGCGACCTGTCTTGCAACGAAACCGACCTCTCCGTCGGTGTGGTCGGCAGCACCGTGGTGGAGAGACTTCTCTTCGCGGCGTCTGCACGACTTCCGTTCAAGACAGGCGACGTGGGCGCTGGGAAGGGGGCAGTTTGGGAACGATGCTTTCTGGCAGGGATCTGGGGACTTCTGGGCAAACTTCGATCAGCCGCGACGCCTCCCTGCGGGACGACTCGATCTTGGAGATCAGAGTTCCCGGGAGTTTCCTCGGCGTTGGATAAATTAGGGCTGAAGCCACCGCTGGTTGTGGGGAATGACGGGTCGTCTCGAGGACCGTTCAGACCGTTCAACGGCGAACTATTGACCTGGCCGTTTCGGCTGACGATCGATGTGGTGTCTTCCGTGGAGGGAATCGTATTGCTCAAGGAGGGCACCAGGCCGTTGGTTCCGTTCGTGATGGCCAGATTGGGATCGCCATTGGGGAAGCTCGCGAATCGAGCTATAGTTTTGCGCTCCTCTGCGACTTGTGGCGCAAAGGGGATCTTTCTTTCGGTGGGTTTGATGGATTGTCTCTTTCTTGCCGTGGATGTGTGCGTTCTATGCTTCTGACGTTTCGTGTCCGTAGGTTTGACGACGGGTCGTGTCTCTGGGAAGTGTCTGCCTTTCATGGTGGACGGTTCCTCGTCCTCTTCCTCGAGGAATCTTACGTCCTCGTTTAGATCTGACTCGTCCTCTTCGTATTCCTCGGCTATGGTGCTCGCTTGGATCCATTCTCTGATTCGATCCTTCTTCTTCGCTCGATCTACCGTCGTCTCGATCCCGTACGTGGTCAGGGTGTGAAGAAGTTGGTTCTTCTCCTCGAGAGAGCTGTGGAAGCTGTACATCGAGGGGCAAAGTTCGTCCCTCTCGTCGGCCCCACCTGTGCAAACGTTGAATCAATGAAGTAGGATACGAGAGGCCGCGGAGTTTCTTTAATTTGGATCGATTGTTACCGTTCAAGGCCTTCTCCGCGCCTAGCTTGGCCAGCCACCTGTCCTCGAGATATTTGTTCGCTTCCAAGACGCTGACGGGCCTCTTCTCCGCCTTAGGATCCAACAGTCGCTTGAACATTCTGGGGGGAATATTGATGAGCGTCGTTAAGCACAGCGGAAATTAGTTTTAGGGAGATTCGATGTGAACCGAGACATCTCGAATCGAGATTACGTACTTTGGGGAGCGTTAACAAGTTTTAGGAAATGTCGACCTGTCTTCGAGTCATTCGAAACGTTCAAATATTCTAATATCTTCGAGTCTATTTCAGTCTCGAGAAATGTTCAAAAAGGAACAAGAAGAAAATTCGTTTGATTTTCCAAACTAAATATTTTTAGAATGTAGATTTCTTTCTTCTCCTCTTTTCACGTTAGTATAATAGAATGACGTTGCGACGAGCACGAAGTCAGTCTCCTCTAGCGTCCTTTAAAACGTCAGCCCATTTTCTACTTTCACAGAGTGGCGTGTAGCAAACTCATCCTGAATAATTATCCCCCATTTTAATTTACATCTCTAAAGACCCAACTGTCTCGATACATTTAACGCGATATTGTTCTCTTTGGGACAATAAACTATTCATCGAGGGGAAGTGCATCCGTAATTGTCCTCGGGCTCATTTCGAAAATAAACTGAAGCTGAAAGGGAGGCATCTACTGCGGTATCGTCGTTTCACACCCCCTGACAATGCAGTCTATAATCGTCCGCGAACCCTTCTGATTATTTTGACGAGCAGAATCGATCCTGAAAAGCTCCCCACTTTTTATTAACTCCGTGTATGTATCCACAAACGAACGCTTTCAATGTCAATTTCTTTTCACTCGAGTATTTACACGTTCCCTTTTTATCGTAAAGTTTTTATTTGGAGGAACTCTATTCTCTCAAATCGACTAAATACTCATCTAGTTTCATCTTTACTGAATCTATCAGAGTCTGTCAGAGTCAGAGTCAGAGTCAGAGTCAGAGTCAGAGTCAGAGTCAGATAATATATCGCTAATCATTTCTCCTTGTTCGAGAGCATTGCCTACTATTATTTAGCGTGAATATTGCCGATCTCCGCTGAGTAGTGAATGAGCTGTCGCAATTGGGCGCTGGCGCCTGACGCTCGCCACGCGTTCGCACGATGAAGAACTGACCTCTGCGCCCGCGAGCTGATCAGCTGAAATAATTTCGGCTTCTTGGCTATGTTCAGCGTTGCGTTGTGCCAGTTCTGATATCTGGTGTATCGCGGGTCGTCCAACGCCGCCTTCTGCCACGGCAGGCATCCGGTCAGACAGACAAATAGGACAATGCCGAATTGCCAGACGTCGTGCGACGTGAGAGCTCTGAAAACGTGAAACGCGATGTACAGTCGAGGCAGGAAGAAATATAGCCGAGGCACTTGAAGCACGCTCGAGTGATTTGTTAAACCTAATACCCTTGTTGGCTTACTAGTCGCCAAATGTCCTTTTCCCTGCAGAAATCGCTGTCTGTTGGCCACAGGCGTTAACCCTTTGGCTGCGAAGGCCGTGTGTATCCGTCCTCGAAAGTTAGACGCAGAGAAATGTTTAAATTCGTTGAATCAATTTTTTAAAATATCTTAATATTTCTAGGAAAAATCGTTCCGCAGCGAAAGGGTTAATATTAGATCTGGGTTTTCTTCTCACGAATTCTTGTTTTTTTCGTATTCTTATAAAAATAACGCGATAATTGCTGGTAATGGTTTATCGTATAATTACTTGTACGTCTCGTCAGTGTCGATCTGCAATACCTCGGGCGGCGAGTAAGGTAGCCACTCGTTGTGTCGTCGCACGACGGTGTTCGCCCGCCTGGTCTCGCCGAAGTCGCATAGCTTGATCCGCGAGAAGTCGCTACGAAACACGAGGATGTTGTCGAGCTTGATGTCGCGGTGCACCAGGTCGCGGCTATGTATGTGATGCACCGCTGCGGCCAATTGTCTGGCTACCCTCTTCGCGTGTAGCTCGCCCAGACCTGTCTCCGTCACGTTGGATGTCAGGTCTCCTAGAAATCGATCATCACGGGGTGATAAAAAATTCTTTGATCAATGAAATAATCAATATTACAGAAGAGATCGAAAAGCTTATTCTACAAATATATATATGCTCATTGGCTACAAGGATGAATGATGTTTATTGTTTTGGCACGAACATTCCGTGGCCTCATATTTATTTCGAATGAAGAATTGTCACGTAGGTTAATCGATACGAGTCCTGTCTACTGTGATCTCTCACCTAAAGGAGCGTACTCCTGGCTGAATACGTAGAACCCTGCGGTCTCGAAGGCCACATCGTAGGTGGTGATGATGTTCCTGTGGGCTGCCAGGTGCAGCCCGTAATGGAACTCACGGAAGAAATCCGTGATGCCTGTATATGCCTTTGGCAACGCCTTCAGCACCATTTCGGTCTGGGTGCTGCGGTGCTCGGTCAGCAGGATCTTGCCAAACCATCCTTCACCCACAATTTGCAGAATATCGAATTCATCGAGCAAATTCACCTGTCGTGGAGAAAGCACGGTTCAATTTATTCGACGTATTACCTCGATCCACTCATTTTGCTAGTTCCACTGCAAATTCTTTGCAAGTACTAATTACTGGTAGTAATAAAATAAAATTCATGTATTTCTCTCGCGAGGCAACAAGTTTACTCGATCGAGTCGACGAAAAAATTGCGTTAGGCGCAATCGGGCGAAGAGGCGTGGACCAATCGACGCGTAACGAGAAAAAGGGGTGGTCGCGGGGCGAGGAAGGTACGACGACGCAATCGAGTTACCTTCTCGAGCTCGAACTCTCGTATCCTGTGAATGGAGCCGCCGATGGCCTTCTTCATTAAGCTCATTCTGACGGACGGTCGTCGATCGTGGGCCGCGTGCTCGAATGAAAGCCAAAAGTCGGGGTGTGGTTGACGCAGCGATCGCGGTGCTCACATTCTGTCATTTCGCGGTGAGCGCTCGTCGATTTCGTTGGGATTTCGCGTGATTGCAGCGATCAGACCCAGTCATCGATTCTTACCCAGAACTCCCAATGTCCAGATCGGTCAGACTCGATTCTGGAAAATTGTAACAAATTGCCCGTCGATAGAATCGAACGCTGCCACAGAAGAGCGTTACCGAATGGCTTTCCAAAGTTATTAAACATTATTCCTTCGAGACCTATCTCATCACGAAATTTTTATAAATATAAAAGAAAGTAAAACCTAGATTCAACTCATCGCTAACGCAGTAATAATTAATGGAGAAAATTTTGTCGGTCCCCTGGCGTTCATTACAACCAAGTTCGATCGTAGCCGTATCGATTTTAGAAAATTGAAACGAATTGGTCGAGTGGAATTCAACGCTGCGACAATAGAGTATCATTATGTCGCGTTACAACCCTTCGAATTCATACGTAGAGAAATAGCTGGAGTGCTATTAAAAGACAGCGCGAGGGTACTAAATGTTGTTAACCTCTGTGCATTCATTTGCTCTTTCTTTGGTTTCATTTGAACGCGACCAGAATTCGAATTTCGGTGAAACGTTGCTGGCGCCGTTCTACGACAACCAGATTCCGTCGAGAATTGACGCGTTTGCCAAAAGCTCGGGTCAACGAGGGAGGGATAAGTTTGTCGAAAGTCGCTTAAATCGCGATCACGCGCGCTTCGGTCGCGCGAAGCGAAAGCGTAAGTTTTAGATAATGCGCCCTTTGTGCCAAGGCAGGCTAACGACGACGTTTTCACGGAGTTACACAAAGCCCGTGGGCGCTCGAAAAGTGACGCGGGCATTCATGAATGAAGAGAAAAACGTTCTGTGAATGATGCCTTGCCGACAGGAGAGGGTGGGAGACTGCTACTTCGACTCCCAAGGAAAAAAATACTTCGAACCGCGATGTATCGCGTTGGAGGTGAAAAGAATCACCCTGGCGTTTGATGTTCAGCTACTTCCGATGGAGGAAACGCGGTTTCGCGATGCTGAAGCATCGGGGGGTTATGAAACATTCATGCCAACGTGGGGATGAGTCGAGAAAGGTCTGAGCATGTTGGGGAAAGATACTGCTAATACATCAAGGTGTCGAAAAATGGGAACAAATAATGCGTTTCATCCAATATTAATTGAAGAAGACATCAGTTCTTCTTCGCTTCTCGTTGCAATCTCGAGGTATACGATCTCTCGACTATATGCGGTTACTTTACGAGTGAAGAGAAGATATCATAAATAACGAAAAGAAAAACTTAACGCAATCGTGAAAGATTTGCTGGAAGATTAACGATTACTCTTACATACTCGAAGTAATATTCATGCTCGACATTAGTCAACGAAATTTGTAAAAGGCTGATTTCCCTATCGATTGGCATGGATTTTTAACAACAGGCAAACGAGGGTATAGTCTTACCGGGGTATTGTGAAAAGATCGGTGTTATTCTGGAGTACACGTGCCGCGGATAAAAATAACGCCACGGATTCTGGGTCGTAATTCGTGGTTTGCACTTTATTGCTCTAAATATGTCGTTTCTGTATAATTCATCGACACAGGCTGTTTCCTCTGTATAGATCTTAAGCCAGTATTTTTGATCCGCGATAATTGTTGCGCAATTTGGAAAACGAAACGCCGCAAATCTCGGCCGGCACAGACGAACCTCTTCATCCGCCAAATTACGCTGACTATATCGCTCGCATGTTCACCGGAGATTCGTCCCCTTTCTCTAACCGTTTGCTGCGAACTCGATTATTTTAAACAACGGGGACAAATGTAATCCGCGCGTCGACGAAATTAAATGAAACGAAAGCGAACTTCATCTTTCAACAGCAATTGAGGACAATTTTGTACAGGGAATAAAAGGAATCAATTCTTAACTACTCCTTAAACGAACATGTCTGCTCTATTCCAATAATTTCAAATTAAATTTTACCTTCGCTCGGCGTTGAAACGTTTTAAGTACTCCAACAAAAGAAAAATGAAACGATTATACGTATACCCTCGCGCAGTATGATCTACGAGTATCACTTTATCGTTCGTTATCACAGCATCGTGATCACTTGGTTATCACTTTCCGCGGGGGCCGACACGATTCCCAAGAGTCACCTCGAACTTTCGTTCACTCACACGGGCACTCCTGTCGGGGCACTTCGTTCCAAGAATTCCCGGGCCACGATTAATCCACGGAAATGTCACCAGCCCATCGAGAGACACTTGGATCCATCGGATCGCGATTTCGACGGACAAACGAGGCCGAGAAGCTCTCGTCGATCGAGCTCGGGAAACGTTAGACGCGAACGTGTTACGAGCCCGAAACTATGTCCGTCGGGAATTGTGATTTTACAGCGACTCCGGTGTTCGCTGCAGTCTTCGAGTGTCTGCAGTATTTATAAAACACCGACCGGAAAGCGCGACTGGCGAGCTGATTTTGGCGCCGAGCCGGCTTGGCCGCGCGCTGACGCCCCGCGACGCGGACGTCGTCGTCGACGACGATCCACGAATCCTATAGGACAACATTCTCTAAACTCTTTTAACCACCGAACTCCTCTCGCCGCCAGACGTAGCTATTCACATGGCATCAGGCATTTAGACATTTGAAATGAAAAACGTGCGTTTAATGAAAAATTGTGGTGCTGGCCAAACTGACGCTTTGTTCAATTTCAAACTATACAATATTCCTACTTAATGGGGGTAACGTGTTGTGTGTCACGCTAAGTCATAGGAACATCAAGCTTTACTTTAAACTCGGATCAAGCGTCGCGTGGTGCGCAAGCTAAATGCGCGGTATTTAACTTAGCACTAACAAAAGGCACGTGTCAACGGCCACCTGATACTTTTTAATGGAACAGCAGCGTGGATTGGAAATAAGTATGCGAGAATTTAACGGGGTAATATATCACCGCAGAAGTCTCGGGGGGTAAAGCAACAAAAGAATTAGAGATTCGAACTGCCACGTGGCCTTGGTGACACAGTGCTCCCATTTTTTTTTTTCTTTCAAAAACTCGAGACTCCTGGCTCGAGAAAAACAGAATTTACCGCCTGTCCTTGGGAAGAATGAACGAGCTGGCGATCCACGATCGTCGTAGACCCAGGAATCCTATAAAGAAATGGCGAAAATGGCACGCGTCTCGCGTGCTCTCGTTCGCTCGGGCTTCGAGTTTCACATTTTTGCACGGAACCGCGTGGTCTAGGAAATGGTCGAAGGTGTATCTCTTGGCTCTCGGGAAATTTATGCGTCTGTGTCGCGGCACGATGAGCTTTCTGCGTGTTTTATGAGAACGATGACTAACACGCGAGTTATTTTCACCGTGGAAACAGTGTGTTCGGGAAGGGACGGGACAAAGGGTGGAAACGTTTCGCCGAAGAGAATAAGAAGAATCAGACATGGTGATCGAATTGAAAATTTACAGATTGGTTCATTTTATTCGGGAGTAGTCTAATCTAGCATTGCTTTAGTCAACAACGTATACAAGTATCGAATGAATGAATGATAAAAGAAACAACGCCACTAAATCTTATTTATATTAATAGCCTGCGGGAGTACAATTCGGGTCGATTGCGTGGCATTTGCGGAATTTGTCTAGCCCAATTTCGGCGAACGTATAGTCATGCGACTCGTCAGTGAATAAGAATACTTTTAGCGTATACATATAAGAAGAGTTTCGATGATTCTTTAATTCCCAATTAAGACAAACGCGTGCACGTTTGTTCTGGAATATGTTGATATTGGATAATACTGTTCCTTCTTAAATCAATATAAATTGTCATGTCACGCTTATGCAATTAATAGTAGTATAATTAATATCGTGGTAACGACGGAATCTGCTTGCACGACCGTGTACGCTACCGACATCTATCGGGATTTCGTTGAACAGTCTCCTCTCGCCCTCTTTGAGGATGCTTCTCAACCTCGATGCCTTCATTGACTCAGTCGATAACTCTGCGGTCTCATCCGTTGTATTCAGTGATATCTATTGTAGCAAACAGTTATAGATACGAACAATGAAGGAACCTCTAAACTATTGTCATTTGAAACCTTTCATTTGATCATCTTTTATTTTTTCAAAACAGTATATATAGTTATTTATCCTTAATACATATTTAATACTTAAACATACATCTATAAAGGTCCTGTACATTCATCTTTACATCACATACAGTAAAAGTATATCACTTTTCAAATTAGTCTTCTTCTGTTAGTTCATCCTTGTTGAAAAATTAAACTACATAAGTAAACAAATAAAACATTAAAATAGTATAATGGGGTCCGAAGAAGTATTTTCATACCACCATAAACAGTAGAAACCTTCAAGTGTTCCTATTAGGTTGTCCTTAAAGTTTCTTTCGTGAGTCGCATTCAATTATTTTCCGTGGCAGTGTTTATATAAATAGACAATCTAATTTCTTAGACATCGATGCTGTAACTGCAATGGAGCGAAATGAATTGTACACAATTTTGTAATGTAACATAAAACATAAAATATCGCGTATGTATCAAGTATTAATAAAAGGAAAGAAACTTTTGGGACAACCTAATATTTAAATCCTTCCACTCCATATATTTGTACAGACTACACCAGGTCAGCCCGAAACGAATTGTTGCGTTTCGAATTTACGCGCCGCCGCGCAGGTAGGCGTGGTGTCCCCCACGCGCCACCAGAGAGCGTCACCGCGACCGTGTGAACTCGATGCTAGTCGCTCGCAGCTCGCAGTCGGGCGCGTACGTTGTCTCAGCTTTTCCGTGTCACGGTGTCGCGAGCGCGTCTGTTGTCGACGCTCGCGGTGCTCCGTCGAGGTTTTATCTAATCGTTGGAGGAGAATTAAATTCCGCGAGTGTGCGAGTCACCGGTCGCGCGAGTGATCGAGCGTGCGTGGCGTGCGTGGCGTGCGCGAGATCGAAACGGTCGGCCCGGGTCCGTCGAACGAGGAAGATCAACGAGCCCACGGTAAGAGACAGAGAGAGCGAAAACAGTGGGGGAGCGAGAGGCCGAGTCGTTGGAGCGACAGAGTGGGAACGATACGGGCAGAAACGAGACGAGGCTAGAAGTGTGTCGGGGCATTTCGTCGAGGAAGGAGCAGGGAAATCTTCCTTTTCCTCTTCGTACGGCCTGGATCGAAGGGTCAGAGGGGTTGCGGGTGGGTGGGGTGCCCGAAAAGCCAGAAGACAGCCTCGCGAGGGAAGAGGTAACTAACTCGTTGTGCGAAGGGTGTACTGCACGCAGCTACAAAGATACGAGTGTTGCTATTGGTCATTTAGTTTGTGACACGAAATTTTAACTAACAGTGAAGTAACCGCTGCTAAAAATTTGTATCGTCGCATCCGAATTCCATTCAGTGACGATCTCTCCGGCTCCACGGTATACGCGAGTCCGTGCGTGGGAAAGAGTACCGTGTCGACTAACGATAGTGCAAGAAAGAGACGGTGCAGTGCCGTGTAAACATACATCCTATTGCCGTGAGTGCGTGCGCGAGTGCGTTCAGCGACAACTTAAACGTCGTCTCGTTGTCGTTGTTCGTCGTGGTTGGTAGAGAGTTTTGTTCGAAGCTACACATCTTCGTTCAACTGGAACCAAGGGAGAGCAAACGTGACGTGAAAATCGGCCGAGCAACGGGTCTCAGGTGCCGTGGCATCAATCATCGGCGGCATTCGGGCACGCGTATAAACCTTTATCACAAATGACAGTCCATCGAACTAGAGGCCAAGTTAGCCGCTGGCTGGATTCGTTTGTCTAGCTGGCTACCAGGTTGGTACCCTGCGGTTGTTTATTATAAACTTTAGCCGTGTACGAAACGCGAGCATAAACGTGCTTAAAACGTAGAAATTAAACCGAGGCTTCGCGTATACGACTTCGTTGAATCAGAAAACGAAGAGTGCTCTAAGTTTTCTCAAGATCGGTACTTTTGGTTTTGAAGTTCGGTAGGAAGTAGATCGTGTTTAGAAATGGTCCCCGGATCTTAAGAGGTGTAACCATTATTCGGCTAAGGCACTCCTGAAAACCTCGTGCGTACCTCTTGAACACCTCGAACACACGGTACATGTCTAGCGGACTGAGCGGTAGGTCTGTTTGTGTATTTTATTCAACGGTACATTTAGTGGACTCTTCTGTAAAAATGGCTGCTGACGTCTCTTTGTATATCATCTCACTCCCACTCGCTCGTCTTTCGAACATTAGGCCTTAGCCTTACAGTACCTTCTATGCGGAAATGGTCCCTGGGCGGTGTATTTTCCATCGAGTTTTCTTATCCTATTTTTTTCTTTTTTTTTTTTATCGCGTATGACGTTTTATTTGCGTAGGTTCACATTCATTTAGACTACAAAGTCCACACAAAAAATACAAATACCTTTTACTTCACGCGAATGCAAAATATACAAACACGTACCGGAATATATATAACTAATAGCTATTTATTCGATCGGTTTCTTTATTCGCGCTTTCTGAAATGCCACGACTCCAAATTTACAAGAAACGAGAGTTGCCATATCTCGTTTTGTAACGTAGTGTTGGGTTGATGGCGAAGTTTTGTCTGGAAATATCGTCCGTTGGAGAGAAAATTAGGTTCGGAACCATTATCAGGAAAATTATGGCAACAAGGTTGTTTCCGTCCCTTTATTATTTTTAATGAGTAAAGTGTATCGGAATTTCGTTAACGTTGCGCTCGCGGCGGACAGGTTCAACTATCAACCGATACGTGATTCGTTTATAAACATTCGCGACCTACCCTGCACGACACAATGCGATAGTTGCGTGCATATACGATAAAGGCAAATAACAAAGCGCCGAGTCGTTATCGTTTCGGACACCCGTTGCATTTTAACCCTCTCGTCTCCCTTGTAACCATATGGGTACGTGCGTTACAAATTATTTGGTATAATATTACTCTCTATATTTAGAAATCTGTAAATGTATATTAGTTATTTACAATTTTGTTTAATTATATGGTAGCACATATTTCGAGTTAATTATAAGTTTCGCGACGAAATGGAATGTATTGTCGTCGTATAAGCGTTACTTAAGAAAAATTCTTTTTCCAAGAAAGTCTTCCGACGTGTTTACTTTTAAAGATGAGAAACCTTGGTGACCTTGAAACGCTAGGCGTAGGCAAATGTCGAACTTTCCAACGTTGAAAGTTTCTTTCAAAATGTGTGCTACTCGTTTTTAGATTCACAATTACCGAGTTGGCTGCGTGCGCTGGAGGATACTTACGCGTTCTTTTTGATTCAGGTCACCGGGCGGAGGTTTCGTTCCTCATAGTCGAAGAATAATTCTCTCCGAATAATTCCGCGCGATTTTTCTTTCTTTTAATTTTTTTTTTTGTGTACAGTTGGAAAAAGAATTTTCATTTGGTTTCCTTTTTAATTAAAAAACTTTTCGTGTAACTTTGTTAGGGTAAATCTTGCCATCGACCGGTTCCATTTAAAATTTCGTCTATATCTGACTGAAACTATCGAGCATGAAGTTGCCGTGTAGAAGCATCGTATCGAAAAACGCACGTCTAACCTCGTTCTCGGAACCGGGTAAAATATGCCTTTTGAATAGCGAATAGTGAATAGTTTACGTTATTTGCAAGTCTAATCCATTATCGTTTAAATCGGATGCATTTCGTTTGTGTCGTAAAAGTGGAGGTTTTATTTGAAGTAAATTCATTCAGACCCGGACACCATTCGACATGGAGGTATTTGAATTTCTATTTTAAGTATGTACCAGACACCAAAGTGAATGCAACTGAAATAGTACGTCGAACGTAGATGGAAACTCAAAAACCAACGCATTCGCATAGTAGGAAAGAATATAATTAGATTTTATTTCGGTGATGAATTTCCAATGCGTATGATTGTTACATACATTCGTTTCTTTTTTAACGCGACGAGTAAAAACGTCGAATAAAATATAAAGCAAGAAAATAAAGATTTACTCAACTCTGACGCGATGTATCGCAAAACGCCTGCGCAAGGACTTTCTCAAGCCCGTTTAATTAATAGTGGATTGGACCAAGGATAACGTGGATCCATTTGACCGGAAGCAAACGGAAGATTCGTGGAGTCTTTGGAAAGAAAATACAAAAAAAAAAAAGGAAACGAGTGACCCGCGATATTTCGTTGGACAGGTTAACGAACCGGGTAGACCGCTGAAATGTTAATGTCTTATTACGTCATGTTCGTTTACCGTCGCCAGAGAAAGGGGTCAAAGAAGACGGAAGGAAAGGGAGGAGGAAAAGAGTGCGAGACGACTAAAAATGGCGTGGCACGGTACACCATCATCTCACGGATACGGATTACAGAGTCTCCACTTCGATCGTCCTTCTTTCTCCCTCTCCTTTCGTCTCGTTGCCTGTGTCTCTCGCTCCGGATATCGCGGAATGCACGTATGCACTTCGTTGCGTTCAGGGATGGGCAAAATTCGCATTCAGATAGACTTCGTGGAACGAATAAATGATAAACGAGGAGGGCCATTTTTCTCTTCCTGTTTGTCGAAATACTTTCGAGACCAAACCACGGATATTTAGTTTATTTAAATGATTCGCAATATCCGGTCGCGACTTGTGAAAATTGTTCTTTCTCTATGGCGTCAGGAACACGCGGAGAAAATGTTTCGATCGTTTTGCAATTATTCTTACCGCGATTATGACTGAGTATCAGCTGGTTGTTTTTGCCCGATGCGGTTTTAGAGATTTCTGTGCGTGGCATACATTCGATATCTTTCACGTATTAAAAAGGCTCTGAAGAACTTGGTAACGGTACGCCAGTGCTACCTGTTACGCACCCGTGGCGATGCGTTTACATTACGCTTTACCATTGGTTATCGCCTCTTAAATCGGGGATTGCATGGAACACCATACGTACACTAAACCCCGTTCATCGTACTTTTACGGGCTGTTGTAACGTACTCGTAACATCTGCAATAGGCCTCCATTTTCCTTTCTTTTTTATTTCATAATCGAACAGTCCATAACGATATCTGTTTCAAATCTACGTGCATTTACACACGTGAGCTCCGAGCACATGTAACATCGCGGCTCGCCTTGGCTCCTCAGAGTCAAGACGCAGAAAATGAACTCCTTGCTAAAAGTCAAATGAATTACAATACACTGAATCCATTTAATTTCCCGTTACTAGAGAACTGTTTATGAGTTTCCCGTCCTTGTACTTTGTTTACATTAAGTGCGACACAGTATTCACTTATCTATAGTGACATTTTTGTCCGATGAGTAGTTGCAGCGATGAACATATAAACGCGTTATCTTGAACGCGATACGCGATCGACGATAAAGAAGAGAACCTAAAGAAGACGGTACGCACGCGTGTGTGTGGTTTTCGCGACGGTATCGTGCGTCAATGCGCTCTCGAGAAGTTGGTGATTAATCCATTCGTGTTGCATTACGTAGAAGTAGGCAACGCGTTATTCATTTCGCTTATTTATTGCCGGCACGCCACGCGACTCGTTGGCATTTTACGCGTAGGAGATATCGACGGGAATGAAAATTCACAGAAAACCGTGGCTTCGGTTACTGCCGAGACGCGCTCGTCGTTCGCATACGTGTGTCGTCGTCGACCTTTCCGGTAATGCCAACGAGTTCCATCAGCGAAACTTGTTTTTCGCGGTGAAATTGCTGATTAATGACAGTTTTCTTTTCCTTTCCTCGGACAACCAACATGCATCACCGCGTACAATCTGCTCGATTTCTGGTTAATCGAGATACTAGCTAATCTGGAAGTCAATTTATCGTACCGTTGCAAAATCCCATTCTTTTCCGTTCAGTCAATCGGATATCGAATTATTTTTCTCTCTTTTAAATTGCTGTCCGTTTTTTGTATATTTTACTCAAGAATTCGTTCGTAAATGAAGATGTTCCTTTTTAAGTTACAATGTTTCCTATAAAATATATCACTCTGGCATCTGGTCGTATTTATAATTACATGCAAGTGACAGGTGTACCACTTTTAGATTGTGCTCTTGATAACAAAAGGTGAGAGTAAAGCAGTACGAACGAGACATGAGATAAAAATATAAAAATATAAATTATCGATGATTTTTGTAAAAAGAATTCCATTTAACTATACTTCAACACTAAACACTCTTCAACCCTTTTTACGTGATAATAATAATTTATATTTTTATTATATAAGAGGGCTTAATTGAGGACGAATCGTTCAATCATTATCTGAACTATACTTGGATCGACCATTATCTTTCTCTTGTTGACTCAATATGGAAAGGAACTATTAATGATCGTGCATGTAGAACGACCATTAATATCCGATGACAGACGCTAGAAATATGTCATATTTTTTAAAACCATAATCGAACTGTACTGTAAGTTTCTACAGACATTATCTTACTGCAAGATCTTAATAGGTTGGAGGTAAAATTCATTTAATTTATAGTGTATTCTACAAAACCGTAGAATTCGTAGCACATTTTCGTGTATTCCAAAGCAAAGGGATAAATACCGTGTCCTTGCGGTGAAATTGACTACGAATCCTAATTGAATTACTTTGGATAATCCTACGTATGATTTCGCTAGCTTGATTGGATTAGGTATCTCTGTTACCGCGTACTCGATCCAATTTACCTACGTTCACGATTATCTGTTTTCGTTGCGTGTCAGCATGTACGTCTGTTACCAATTCCGCAACATTTCCTCAACTTTGAAATATTTCAACAGAAGAGGGTCGCAGTAGAATTTAATTTGTATGCAAAGAGTCGCCGATAAACCGTGATTAATCTTCTATTCGTCGTTTGAA